AGGCCAGCCCGAGCTCGGGGTCTCTGGGACATGTGGCTCTTTCTCCTGCTGCTCTCGAGTGCCTGGAGCCACATTGCGTGGAGTGGGATGGGAATGGGGGCTTCTGAGCTCACGCTCGACTCTCCCAGCAGCTGGTGCCACTCTGCTGCTGGATGCTTGTTTCCATAATAAGCACAGGTGGCACTGTGCAGGGGTTCCTGCAAGCTCTCCTGGGGCACACCGCATGTGTCACGGCATTTTGGGGCCTGTTGCTATCCAAATGGAGGCAGTTATCTCCGCCGTGCCCTTGGTACCTTCCCCTCCTGGGAACTGGGAGAGGAGGCCAGACCCGGCTGTAGCTGCACGTGTCCTGTCAATGGTTAGAACGCCTGGTAACCAAATCTGGATGGCACCAAAGGTGCCCGCTCTGCTGCAGAGCACTGGCGGTACCCAGGGGTCCTGCTCTGCTCCCTGTAACACTGCAGCCTCCTCCTGCTCGAGACAGACCTGCCCGTCCATGCCAAGCCACTAGTACACGTATTTGCCTTGGGTGCAAAACTAAAAAAATTGAAAAAAAATACTAAAAAGTGATTTTAAAAGGTGATCTTTATTGTGGGGAGTGCAAGTGCCAGAGCGTGTGCCGAGGATGACGTTTTCTTCTGGTGCTAAAGGCTGCTCAGCATAGGAGAATCCTCTTCCTCCTGTCACCGAAGCCACGTATCGTATGAATGCTTCTCTAGAAAGCACAAATATTTCTTGCAATGGAGCAGCGTGTCCTGGGGCTTGCGGTCTCCTGCATTTCTCTTTTAAAGGCTCAAGCCTTAAAGGGTATGGCAGATTCGTCTGCAAAACGTGTTTGTGGGTGTCATCGGGTTTGAGGATAATACTGTGCCTCTTCCACTTCACATCCCTCTTGATCCACTCTCACCTCTTGCTTCTGAATGAGTGTTTGTGGTGAGTTTACGCTCAGGATAACTTTGCTCCTGAGAGCACACTTTCATAAAGCCAGTGTTTGGGGCACACAGTTCATTCTTTTTGCAGTGATCAGCATTCGTCTTATCTCTGCTGAATTTTGCTCTCTATTAATGTTTTGCTGCCATGTGTATCTAACAATTGACAGCTGACAGCTGTAATCACTCTGGTTTTCAGTTATTGAGATCCATAGAGTGAACTTTAAATTATCACGTTTTAACGTGTTGATAAATAATCCCGGGCAAAGTCAGTGCTAAGGGTTTTAAAATGATGCAACTTCAGCAGCTGCCTGGATTATCTATTAACATCTACTGGAAATCATCAAAATAAAAGGTGAGGTTGGTGTTACTTTTACCATGGTGTTAGGGCTGACTTTGTTCATTGTATATATTTTTAAAAAGACCCTAAAACCACCTAATACAGAAGTTCCCTCAAGTGCCTTAGCTGGGATGGTACTTTTTTCTGCCACATAAGAGGCAGTTAACTGCTCTGCCGTGGTCCACTGAGCAATCCCTAGAGTAACAGAAATTCTGTTGGGTTGACTGTAGCTGAAAGTATTTTTTGAATGTTTGGTTGACTTTTTCTTCTTAATTTCACTCAATTGAAAATAATCAGACTTGATCTTTGAATGGAATATACTTGTTTGCAGTACCTCATTTTGTGTTTGAATTTATTTTTGAAGCTTATTGGGTTTCAAAGAAAACATTATAATATTTTCAGAAGAGAAGAGTCGAGCCAAAGCCCTGAAAACTTCTCCTTTTTTTAACTCTGAAGCAACTTGCTGATATCTGCACTAACTACTCACGTGCCGTGGTTGAGCTAAAACTTTTTTTTTGCATAAAAAAGGAAAGCGCTCGGTTTGCTCTCACAGCCTTACTGGGGGTTGTCTGTGCTGAGGATGCACAATTTATGGCCAGTTACATCTTTTGAACTCATCCCTCTGGCTTTTGACAACTCTTTAGTGAAACTCAGAGATTTTACTGAATTTCACTATGTTTTTTTTGATGCACTGGCCAACGATCAGTGAACTCGCTCTCAGCTGCAGCGCTGGGGAAGTGCAGAAGAAGAGCTGAAGGGTGGCTACACAAAGGTGGTCCTCGCCACAGCTGGAGGAAGAGCAGTGCTCCTGCCCCAGGAAAGCATTTGAGAGCTCTCTTGCTTTCTTGTTCTTCATTGGAACAAACATTGACAGGCCAGGTTTACTGTGAGGAAGGAAGGCATCGCTGGTCCTGGCATGGCTGAAGGCTCCAGTGCTGGCACAGCCCGGATCAAGAGTCAAGATCCTTATTTTATCTATGTGCACAGGCTTCCTCTCCAAATAAACTGGAGAGCTTGGGGTGGGACACCACATGTGTGTGGACCTCTGTGTGCCAAGGAGCAGAGCCCTGGAAGAGGCACTGGGCTCCTTCTGCTTGCTCAGGCGTCATCTCCTGGAGCCTCAGTTCAGAGAAAACTATCGTCTTTATCTGGGTACTTTCCTTGACTTAATGCAAGGTCACGTCACCCACTTGTATCAGGAAAAGTCTCGTGTTTTGTTTACCCAAAACAAACATGCAGGAGGAGACCTGAAGTGTAATCTGCAGCAAGCAGCCTCCTACGGACCTGGAGACCTGCGGGGCTTGTGAGCAAGGCAGTGGGGGGAGCTGAGCTGCTCGGTTGTGCCTCTGCTGATTGCATCCTTATCTGGGGCCAGGGCTCGTGGAGGCCCTTGTAGACACACCTTTACTTCTTCACTTGAATGTCCCTTGGTAATCTAAATAGCCTAGATTAGTTCCCAGCTGCAGAAGTCAACTCCCCCAAGCACTGATCTTGAGGATCTCCGCAAAGTTTTGGATTGAGTAGCATTGTGTAAGAGTTTCTTGGTACTTAGGTTAAGTCCCTCCAGATCCAAAGAAATCCCTGGCAGGGGAGGAAAAGCTTGTTGCTGGTGTTGGAGAAGAACCTTGCTGCTTTACAAGCATCTCGCCTGTATCAGCAGCAGCAGGAGGTGGCTCCTATGGGTGAAGGACACCACTGAGTTTACTTTCTCATTGACGGAGGTGTCACATTGGGATGTTCTTGCAAGAAATGCTTGAGAAATGTTTGGAGTGAGAAGACCCCAGTAGGTTTGACTTGCTTGATTTTTGTATCCAACATGAGCAAGTTTCAAGCCTGTAACTCCATCAGAAGGTCACAAGGGCTGTTGAAAACCTCAAGGAATGGAGCTTGCATGGTTTCAAAATAGGAATCAGAGCTATTTTCAAGAGTGGAAAATGTGCCAGGCGTTCCACATCTGGCAATGCAGATCATGTCCATAGTCTGTTATTTTATCTGCTGCTTCTCAGGACATTTAGTCCTCATAAGCAGGATTGTGTAACTTGAGGTGTGGGAAAGATCAGGTTTTGCTCTTTTAAAATCATCATCCCTTTAGATTCAGACTGTGTCTTAAGGGTGGGAGAAGTGACAGGGATATCTTTTCACAACCTGCTAGCAGTGCTGTCGGTGGGGACATTCATGACCCCTGGGCCAGCTAATTGCTACAGTGCAGGATCAGCAGCTCGAGCTGCCCTGAGCCTGGCATCTGCATTTTGCATCCCACCAGTGCATGTTTCAGCGATAGCTTCATGACCGTCCTAGGGAGGTGGCCTGAACCCGAGCACTGTCCCACCCCAGCGATGATGGCCTTTTGCAGCAGAAGCGGTCGATGAAAACCCTGGCCGTGAGTCAGAGGATGGCCGTCGCTGCCACAGGTGTCAAGGGCTGCGGGAGGATGCGGGGATGGGAGCGAGCTCCTGGGCATCTCTGCACGCTCCGGAGATGGGCATTGCCAGCCCCGCGCCAGGAGCTTGTGTCAGCTGCTCGCGGACGCTTCAGAGGAGACCAAAAGGATCTAGAGGTGGACAATTACGCCTTGTCCTTCTTGTAGGGACCACTTACTCATCTTTCTTCCAGCTCCTCGTAGTTATTGTTTGATAGATACCCTGATGCTAGAGGGTTCGTGGGTTTTAATTAGTAACCCTGGGCGGTTTAGTTATCCATGCAAATATCCGGTCCTCTTCTGAATCCTACTCAGTTCTCACCCTCAGCATCCTGCAGCAGTCATCTATGCAGGAAAACTTGTGCAATGTTATAACTAGCAAGAACTTTGTGTGTTAAGTTGCTGCTCTACAGTTGCATTAAAAAAAAATAATTAAATTAAATATGTATTTTGTAGACTATTCTGTTGCTTAAAATAAAACAGTTCTGGATATCCAAAGATCTAGCTGAAACACTTAACAGCTAATATTTTCCTTCCCAATTTGACTTCCAAATTACATTTGTCATGTTCCTCCAGAAGTCCCAGCTGCCTAATGGAAAAAAGCTTCCTTTTGCTTTTCTGGGACTCCTTCTCCAAAATGGCGTTGTTTCAGCAAAAATCGGGAAACAGGATTTTGGAGTGAAGACATCTGAGTTACTGCCCCGTTTTTAATGAGCCAAAATTTAAGTGTGGTGTTTTGAAATCAGCTCGTTGGCTCTACGGAGCAACTCTCGTTCTTTTTATTTTTTCACAGCACCTTGTACCGTGGGACTGACTCCATGTGTCGGATTAGAAAGCCTGTAAGCTCTGATAATACCAAGTAATTAACAATGTATCAGGAGCTGATTCTTGGAAGTGAAGTCAAATTTTTTGTGTAATGAGTCTTAGCAAATGAGTTGATGCTTGGGTGTCTGCGAGTTCAAGGAGCAAGCTGGAAGGCGTTTGGGGTTTGCTTTCTTCACTCTTCCCAAACTCTAAACCATGAAGCTAAATAAGAGTAGGGCAGTTCCTAAATATTGCTTGGAAACAGAATAAATTTCTAAAGATCCATTAAATGTGTGAGCTGCAACAACAATAAGAAAATATTTAGACAATACTTCGTGAAAAATAAGCTTTATAGTGATGGTATTTTAAAAATGTTTTTCTTCTTCCTTGTCATGACTTTGTCCCTGTATTGGCTGCATTTACACCCGTGTTAGCACCAGCTGCTTGTCTCTAAACTTTTGCTGCAGCTCTGAGAGTACCTCACCGATTTCTTTTTGTCTTATTTCAGGTCGAACTTCACGTCCACCTGGATGGAGCCATTCGACCAGAAACAATCCTGCACTTCGGCAGGTAAGTTGTGGGGGGAGGAAGGCTCTGGGAGATGCAGTTCAAAAGCATCGTCCCTTCTGCTTGTCCACTTCTGTGGCAGAAGAGCTGGTGCCAGCAGGCTGGGAGAGCTCTGCTGTGCCGTGCAGGCAGCAAACCTGGCCGGTGCCAGGCTGGCCTCTGCACAGACGGGTCCTCCGACCATGTGGTGCGAGGACATGGAGCACATCCATGGAGCTTGGGGGCTGCGCTGGCGGTGGGAGCACGAGCGAGGTGGTCGTTGGTTCCATGAGCTGGATGAGCCAAGAGGAGCTTCTGTGGGATGAGTAAAGGAGATGTTCCATGAACAGAGCCATCTGCCTTTGAAGGGTGCCCGGAGAGCCAGTGTATTCTTGTTGCTTTTACCACATCCCTCATTGCAAGAGCAAATGAAACGAGAGTGGGCTGGGAGTGTCATCTTGGTGCTGGTACCACGGTATGGGGAGGCAAAACCAGCTGAGGTGCTCCTCCCTGCCCTGCTGCCGGGTTCTTTGATGCCCAGGCTGGCTGCCAGCAGCTGAGGAGCCAAGCTCCTGTGAGGGTGACCCAGGAGAGCACTTGGCGGTGACTTAAGGAGAGGCCATTTCCTTGACAGAGGCCACGTTGCTCCGGTGTAGCTCGTGTGGGAAGCACCAGGGTGAATGATTAACTGGTGTAAGGACATGGCTCCGCAGCTCTAAGCAAAATAAACTCAAGACTTCTTCCAGCTGTCACTGTTCAAAAAGCTATTGGAGACTAGCGGGTGCTCTCAGTTGGAGAAAGTGGCGAGCTGAAAGATTTCAGGAAACAGCTCTTGGGCACAACTCTGGTACTTTGGGGAGGCAGTGAACTCCGAGGCAGCGCGATCTCAGGGGGAAGTGTTCTTTCTGAAGTAGCTCTTTCCGCAGGGAGCGGCCGTACGTTTTGCAGTGTAATCAGATAAAGAAGGTGGATCAGAGATGTCCATCTCATTCGTTGCAGGACGTTAGCATGGTGAGTTGAGTCAGGGTTCTCGCTGTCTCTGCCCACGCTGCCGGTGGGCTGCAACACAAGTCCCGATGGGCAGAAGAGTCGGTGCTGGGTCCCTCTGCCAGCCAAGGGCACATGCCGGTGTAGTTCCCCAGGAGGGTTGTAGGGGCCCAGGAGGCACCAGCCATCTGAGGATCTCGTTCCTCTCTCTTGCTTAGGGTAGAAGCCTTGATTGCTCAAGTGTGGGCCGAGTTCCCTCTTATTTTTAAACAGCCCTGGCATCTCCCGGAGCTGCCAGCCCTGGGGTGGAGCAAGGCTATGCTATTCGTGGGCTCTAAAACTTGTGCTCACACAAATGTAAAAGTAACGGGGCAGTGCAGGAGACTGTAATGGACCTTAATAACCTCATCCAGGACACAGAAAGCTACTTGTGGTCTATTTTTAAAGGTAAAGAGCTGGAAATAAATTTGCCAGGTGGTGGCTGACCATGTACCAATAACTCAGAGCCGCTGGGATGCACAAGCCCCCTTGGGCAGTGGCTGAACTCAGCTCTTTTTAGGACTGTGGCTCCAATTTTATCAGGTCTGGATCAGACTTTGCATCCCCCCTGTCCAGCCAAAGGGTTCAGAGCTGTGGCAGACCCTTCCTGGTGCTGTCTCTGCGGTGGGACGGTGTGTGTGGTGCTGCTTGTGGCTAGAGGTAGCTTTGGGCAGGACACTGAGGTGCAGGTGGGCACGAGCACGTTTCCCTGGGACAGCTTTGCTGCAGGAAGGCTCCCACCTACCAGGCGGGTTGGATGGGCAGCAGCAGCTCCCAAAGCCATGCCGGCAAGATCCACCAGAACCCCTCAGCCAGGGACACCTGACCACCTGACTCCAGTGTCTCCACTCTGCGGATCATCCCAAAGCACTGTTGCTGCTGCCTGCGTGGAGGCAATCTTTCGGAAAGCACCTGAAAAAGGTCAGGGAAACGGCTTTGCTGTAGGAAATTTTCCCTGGGCAGGTGGAGGAAGACGTGGGCCAGTTCCTGAGGCAGAGACTGGTGTGTCTGTGCCACGGAAAGGGCAAGGCAGGCAGGGAAACCGATGCCTTGGCAGCGATGAACGTCCCCTGCTGTGTGCCAGCAACTTAATCTGTGCAGATTGCCTGTGAAGGCTGAGCGTGGGGCTGGTTTCCTTCCTGCCCGAGCAGACAAGAGCAATGTTTACTGGGCCCAGGAGCAGGGTGGTTCGGGCTGCTTCCCTTCAGATTGCTCGTCGGGAAGGCGGCTGGCAGCGGGACGCTAAAGCTGTCTGCGGTGTTTTGTCTCTGTTAGCAGGGAGATCGATCAATCGGCTGTAATTCATTGTGGCAGGAAAGAGGATTAAAAACAAATGTCTAGTTATGATTCCTAATTTAAGTTGGCATTCATGGGCAGAGTGACAGGGTGGGGGTGGCGAAGCCTGCCTGGGAAGTGTGCAGCGTCCTCAACTCCCCTCAAGCCCCCTCGAGCCCGGCTGTCCCTCCCTTGGGACACTTCCACCTCCCAGGACTCCAGGGACAAACAGCCTCTTTCATCTTGGAAAAGTTTAGGTGGGCTTTACCATCCCCATCCCTTTGGTGAGAGCAGTCATTCGGACTGTGTCTGCTCTGGCGTGGAGGTGTGCCTATCAGAGGAGATGCCACCACAATGTCAGGTTGGGAAGCGGAGCTGCTTTGCTCATGGGAGCTGCCGGAATTAAACCCATGAGCCACGATGCTTCTGCGTGTGTGATCCTGGGCCTGGGACCGTCTCCACAACTTTTCAAGCCTTTGAGCCTGACTAAGTGGAAATTAACTTTTCTAAAGAATTTTGGCAATTCTGCCAATAGGACTAGGAGGTGCCAAGAAATAAACCAGAGCCCCTTTAGATGAGCTCCTTCTTAAGCTTAAAATGTGCTCTGGCTCTGTTCCTGCCAGGTCAATCTGGGCTTGTATTTCGATTTGTTTGTGCTTTGCCTGAGTTTTGGACTGCCTTCCTCCCTGTTGAGATTCAGGGCTGCATCCGCGAGGAGATTTTGGAAGGACAACGTGTGCCATATCTTTTCTGTGAAGAAATGGCGTTGAATGCTGCCAGCTTGGATTGCGATTGCTGGACAAAATGGGCCGATTAAAAACGTGATAGCCTTCCCAGTCAGTAACACGTGGCTTCGTTTCCAGGAAAAGAGGAGTTCCTCTCCCCGGCAGCACCGTTGATGACCTCCTGAAGCACGTCAGCTACAAAACACCTCTGACACTTACCCAGTTTCTAGAGAAATTTAATCACTACATGCCTGCCATTGCGTAAGTACCCCACTTTTCACTTCTTCCCCCTCAGCCCTTGGCAGGACCTCTTGGCTAACGTTGCTCAGCCTTGGAGGTCACCTTGCCTGTCCCCAGTGTGCCCCGGGGGTGTTGAGTCCTGGTGACGGGTCTCACTGCTGTCCTTGCAGGGGTGACCGTGAGGCGGTGAGGAGAATCGCCTACGAGCTGGTGGAAACGAAAGCGAAAGAAGGCGTCATCTACGTGGAGGTCCGGTACAGCCCTCACCTCTTGGCCAACTGCCGCGTGGATCCCATCCCCTGGGGCCAAACCGAGTGAGTGATCCTGCCGTGCCGGGAAGATGGTGGCCGGCCGGTCAGGCATGGCCGTCGGTCAGCCAGCGCACGTTCAAAGTCGTGTAACCAAACCTCTCTCCTCCAATGCAGTGAGCGCCGGCACGCTTCCACCTCTCTTCCCCATCAATAGGATTTTTCCTCTTATAATATCTCCATGTGCTGATGTATTTTAACGTCCCTTGCCTTGGGCACCTCGCTCCGCATGTGCAGAGCAGCTGTGCTTAAACTTCTGGCTGCAGCTGTTCCCCAGGCGAGGGAAAGCAGCATTCGGACATGGGTCACCTGCCCCCAAAATGTGAATTTGAGCTGCCGGAGACGGTGGATGATGTTGAAGGCGGCTGGTGATCCAGTCCCTTCTTTACATGTCATCCCCTCTGTGATGTGTGCCTCTGATTAAGGGGCTCTGTGGCCCCTTGCTGAAGGTGCTGTGATGGGCGCTGAGCCCCCGGGCTGCAGGCAGTGTGTGTCCTAAGGAGATGCTCTGGTAAAGAGCAGGTTCCTCTGCTCGGGCTAGATAGGCATCCAGTTTCCCAAGGCTTTTCTAAACCTTACTGTCACCTTTGCTATGAAGACAGGCTGAGAGAGTTGGGGCTGTTCAGCCTGGAGAAGAGAAGGCTCCGGGGTGATATTATAGTAGCTTTCCAATACCTAAAGGGGGCCTACAGGAAAGCTGGAGAGGGACTTTTTACAAGAGTGTGAAGTGATAGGACAAGGGGCAATGGATTTAAACTGAAAGAGGGCAGATTTAGGTCAGATATAAGAAAGAAATTCTTTACATTGAGGGTGGTGAGGTACTGGAACAGGTTGCCCAGAGAAGTTGTGGATGCCCCATCTCTGGAGGTGTTCAAGGCCAGGTTGGATGAGGCTTTGGGCAACCTGGTGTAGTGGAGGATTTCCCTGCCCATGGCAGGGGGGTTGGAACTAGATGATCTTTGAGGTGCCTTCCAACCCTAACCGTTCTATGATTCTATGATCTTTGCATGCTTTTGTGCCTGACATCTGGTAGATCTGGGCATGCCATGGGTGTAAAAGGTGCTTCTCGGCTCTGGGTGGTCTCGTCAGGCTCCTCTGGAAGTTAAGGCAAGTGGGAGCCTGGGCAGCCTGGGTTTTGCTGGGGTGTCCTGTGGGGATGCTGGGCTGGACCTGCGGCCTCTCCTGCCTCCCTGACGGTGTCCGACCTCTCGCTGACGGCTTTTCTTCCCTGCAGGGGAGACCTCACTCCAGATGAAGTCGTTAACCTCGTAAATCAGGGACTACAGGATGGAGAAAGGGATTTCCGCATCAAAGCCAGGTCTATTCTATGCTGCATGCGCCATATGCCAAGTAATGTATTGCAGCTCCCCTGCTGCTCTGCTCCCCTTCCCTGACGCGTGGCGGGGGGTGACGTCCCCTGGGTTCAGGTCCCCGCAGAGATGTGGGGGAAGCCCCAGTCCTATGGCCCAATATGGGACCAGACAGTGCTGAGGAGTAGTTTTTTCATGGTGAGGGTCCTCTACTCCCTTCACTATGGGGAAAGGGTCTGCTGGATGCGAGAGTGGAGGTCTGTGGGTACAACCAGTATCTCAAAAGTTCTTGCTAGAGAGACAAAAGGGCTCTTCTGTCCTCTCCCAGGGGAAGTGTGGTTTCTGCTCGTACCTCACTCCCTGCCCAAAGGCTGGAGCTCTCCATGGGCCGGTTGAAGCCATTGCCGCAGTGAGCGGTTGCATCTGCCATGAACGGTCATGGGAGGAGGCCCAGGCGTGAAATGTCACGCTTCCCCTGCTCACTCCTTTGTTAGCCTGGACCATGGGTCAGCCAGGGAGTCCGGTGGCTGCAGGCTCTGCTGGTTTAAGCTGAAAACACAAGTAAAATATACTTAAGTCACATACATAAGATGTTTTTTATAAAATCAGCTGCTCTGAACTTCATTGGTAACAGGTGCCGTGACCCAGAATAGGAAGAAAACCCGATGTCCAATGTTTCATTGAGCTGCCGAGCTCTGTGAGCATCTTCCTCTAGGGAGAGATGCAGTCCGAGCGAGGCTGGATGACAGTAGCTCTGTGTGAAGACTTTGTTATGAATATCTTCATATCTCACAACAGTTTTGTGTAGCCTTAGTAGGGTAGATGGTGGAAAGATTTTTGCTAATGAGTACACAGTTAATTTGCGTCTAGAAATGTGAAAAATTATATTCTTGGAAACTGGGAGATTTGAGAATGTGTTTGGTTTTGTTTCCTGCCTGCACAATCAACCCCAAATGAAAAGCTTGACACTCACTTTTCTGGCTTCTAGGAAGAAAACGTTTTTCTTTGTAGAAACTGGGAAGCTGTAAGGCAGTGTCACACTTATCTGCAGTTACAGTCCTGCCACTACACCAGTGGCAAAGGCAGAGGTGTCAGGCGCTTGCACGGCAGGAGGGATGGCTTGTGCAACAACCGAGCTGGCGTTCTTGTGCCTGTGTCCCAGGACACTGGCTCTTACCGGAGCCAGTGATGCCCTCGATACGAGAGGCTTTAGCTGTAATTTATGAATTGCTGAGAGAAAGGCAGAGGTGCCAGCCAGAACTGGCTTGTGTTAAACTTGTTAACGAAATAATGTCTCTAAGCCAGTAAGCTTGAAAACAATGAAAAAAGAAGATGAAATTGCACACCTTTTCTTGCATGTTCATATTATTTTAGGATTGTATGTGCACAGCAGGTGCCTGTTAATTATTGACACAACCATTTATCTCTGTTCCTTGGCCTTGTTGCTAAGGGTAAGTGCTGTATGAGCTGGACATGCATGTTCTCTTTCAGAGGTTCTCCTCTATCTCGATCAGAGATGGCTCTGAAGTAGTTGTTGGCCACTTGTTACTCTCCTTCTCACTGATGCCAAAAAGATAAAACTTTGAGTTTCACGCAGCTGACCAGCTCCTTCCCACCACGAGTAGCATCCATCGTCTTGGGTGGGGAGTTGAGGATGCTCTGCAGCAGGGCACGACTGACTGTCGTACTGAGCCCCCGCAGTGACCCCTCCCAGCCTAAACTCCTCCGTGATACAACATGTCCATGGGCCGGTTCTTCCCTTTCCCCTGCCCCTTCCCCAGCTGGGACAGGGCGACGGCTCAGGAACGGGATGAGGGATCTCTCCCATGCACCATGTTACAGTACCTGCGCTGTGCAGTTCAGCTGACCATGGCCAACTGCAGCAGTTACCACTGTGTTTGGAGGAGTTTGTTTTTCTGTTTTTTCTTTTTCTTTTTTTTTTTCCTGCCCAAAGTGAGCAGAAAAACATGATGAAAGCAGTTTTATAGCTAGTAAATGCATTTCATTTCCCTTTGATTGATGATGGGCTAATCAGTTGGCAGTTTTTATTTGCCTGAAGATGGCAGAGCTTTCTAGGAATTTGTTAGCCTTCTTTTTGAGCGTCAAATTTTAGGAAAGACCAAAGAAAATAACTCTAGCCTCCTAGTTATATGACCAGGATTTGTTTAGAAAAATGCTGAAGGTGTGACCCTTACTAGTGCTTTCTCCTGAACCCTGGTGCTGTCTCTTTCAGGCTGGTCTCCAGAGGTGGTGGAGCTCTGCAAGAAGTATCGAAACAATTCTGTGGTGGCCATCGACCTGGCTGGGGATGAGTCCCTGAAGGTGGAGAACTCCTCTGAGCATAAGAAGGCTTACGAGGTTTGTTTAATAAGCTTCTTAAAAGAAACGATGAGATAAACATGTCTTGAGGGGACATGCATGAGGGGACATGCAGCATGTTATTCAGACCGCAAACAGCTGGGACAGCTTAAAAGTCTGTTGCAGCTATTAGAAAAGTTCAGTTAAATAGCAAAAGTATTTGTTTATACTTCCTAAATGACTAATGGCAGGCATCATTGCTGAAACATGGCCTTAGAGCTGGAGCTCGGCACCCTACCCTGTAGCTGAGACTGCGATGTGAGCGACGTGGAGCCTGTGTCCCTGCTCTTGGCCAGAGTCCGCTCCCAGGGCACAGCAAAAACATGGCCAAGGGTGCAAGAGACTGGCCTCTCTGGTCTGCAGCTGGTGGCAGTCGCCCAAGGAGCAGAGAAGATGCTGCACATTTGAAGTGCTTTTATCTGATCATCTCAAATGCAAATTCTGGAGTGGCTTCAGGAGCCTGATCCGAGGCTCTTGCTAGACCTCAGCGCTTTGGAGCAACTCAAGGGGAAGACTTTGTGCCTCACTCCTCTTTGCTGGTGGGAGTCTAGGGTTGTTGGTCCCCTGAACCAGTGAGAAAGGAGGTTGTGCACCATCACTGCCAAAAAGGATGATGGTTTGTGAGCAGTGCTCAGGGCTGAAGCCATGTGGGGCTTTCTCAGGGGCTTTGCCCACGTCATCGGGAGCCACCAAGGTCCACCTCTGCTGCTGCACTGTGCTGGATGGGCTGAGTGGTTATAAACTGAGACACAGGCACAGGGTTTTATGAACTGGTGCATCTCATCCTGCCTTGGTGTGCCATCAGTACCTGGATCCAGACTGCTCTGTCTGGAGGACGTGCCTTGTCCCTGGGCTGGGGACTTAACCAGGCTCTGAGATGCTGAAGCAAACCCTGCTCCCGACCATCAGCCTCTCTTGGTCTGCGTGATGGGGAAGTGCTTCCGCATAAATACATAAATACTGCTGCTACGCTCCGTGGGGTACTTAATGCATCCAGGGAAATCGGCGAGACTTGTGATTCCCTTGGGCTCGGACAGGCACGTTCTGCCTAGGAGACAGCAATTGTTGGAGGAGAAGTCAAGGGAAGCACCATGTGTCCTTGGATAATTGGTTTGAAAAGGGGATTAGGCCACCCCAGGGAAGATGTGCCCATGGATGGACGTTAGACATAAGCTCCCTCCTAGATGCAGTGGATAAGGGGTCAGGCTTCAGTGACCAGGAGGGTTAGTAGAGAATTCCTGGTGCATGTGGTGTTCCTCACCCCTCTGCTTGTATCCCCAGCTCCTGTTGGGATAGTTAGGGATGTCTGTCACAGAGCAGAGGAACAAGAGATTCTGGTTTGTCTTCATTCCATGTCGAAACAAGTGGGAGATCTCAGTGCTGGTGTGTTTGTCTTCTTGGTCTGGTACTTTGGCCAGAGGGATTTTGTTATTTTAAAAAGTGTTAAAAAAAAAAGTCTTTGGGGAAAATCAACGCTCGCTTAAATGTAGGGAGCACAGAGCGTCTTGTAGGTCAATGCACACAGGGCTTTTCTGTAGCTGCCCCATGCAGAGCCTGGCCTGACCTTTGCCAGGCTTGGGTGTGCAGCACATGAGGAGCTGAAAATTAAGTAATTGGAAAAAATCATGAGTGCAAAGCCCCGAAGGAGTGCCTGGAAAGAGCTGCTGGCTGGGTGGCCCTTCTGCAGCAAGGCAGGAGCCGGGCTTCCCTGGAGGCTGCATGGCTTCCTAGAGCCCAGGTGGTCCATGGTCACCCTGGCAAAGTTTTTCAGCATGGCCATGGAGACCATCTCAAAATGCCCCCAAAGCTGCACCCGCGGGGTCCTCCCGGCTGGGATGCCTCCATCCCCAGCCCCTTTTTCAGGAGCTGGGTGCCTGGTGTCTGAGCACCTCTTCTCCTCTGCCCGAGGGGCTTTTAACGTCTCCCTCTGGGCTGCAGCTGTAGCAGCCAAAAAGGTGGCAGATTCCAAGACAGGAATTGCTGCAAGATTTATGCAGAAGGATGAGCGGGTGGAGGAGGGAGAACTTTGAGCTTAGTGCTGTTTGGACAGGAGACAGTGCGGAGCTCACCTGGTATTAAAGGGCCTTGGAGGAGCCTGGCTGGGCTCCAGGGGCAGGTGGCCAGGCTTTTGGAGTTTCTCTGCCTGCGGCATTGCCGAGCTCTCCTCTCGCAGCCTGTGCTGGAGCACTGAACGTGCACCTCTCGGGGTGTGCACCTTCTGCTTTGGGGGCTCCTCGTGCAGAGCCCTGCTGCCCTCGCACGCTGTGCTCGCCCAGGGCTTTGCTGACCTTGCTGCAGGTGATGGGACAGGAGCGTGTCCTCCGTTGCTTTGCAGGAAGCCGAAAGATGCGGGATTCCGCTGGGGAGGCTGGCTCGGCTGCCATGATCAAGGAGGTACGAGTTGCTCCTGGCTCGGGGCAGGGAGCAGGAGGGACCGGGGCTTCCCGGGGTGGGGTGGGAAGCGCCCCTGCATCCTCTGCACCAGGGAGAGGGGAGCCCAAGTTCTCTCCTCTTCATTGGGGACCCAGGCAGAGATCTGGGCCTTCTGTGAGGGCTCAGAGCTGGAGCTCCCAGAGCTGGCTCAGCGACATGGGCTGTACCCGTGGTGGGGCACCGATCTCTGGGCAGGCAGGAGCCCAGCTGGCGCTTGGAGGCTGTACGTGGTTTTCCCATGCTCTCTAGGCGGTTTATCTCCTGAAGGCTGAGCGCATTGGCCATGGCTACCACGTCCTGGAGGACCCCGAGCTCTACAAGGAGCTGTTGAGAGCAAAGATGCATTTTGAGGTAAGGATGCATGGTGGGAGGGTGACAGCCAGGCAGCTGCTATCTGAGTGGAAAATCAGCCCTCACTTGGGCTGTGCTACAGCTGGGGACACGACCTGACACCCGAGTGCTGACCACATGTTCGGTGGTGATGCTGTTGAACCCAGATGCTCAAAGCTCTGCAGCAAAAATCCTGGGGACACCTGACTGTTTGCTGGGCTGTGCTGCGAGGAGCGCTGGGCACACGGCAGCTCGCAGGAGGGATGTAGCAGGGAAGAATGGATCCTGGTGTGGCTGAGGATTAATTTTTGAGGGCTTATGCACTAATTTATATACCTCAAGCCTGCAGGCTCCTCCACAAATCAGGCTGCTGTACCGGAGCCTGGCTGGTTGGAGGGTGGAAGTGCCTGAGAGTTTCTGTGCATGGGCAGATTTCCTTGGCTTTTCCCCAGAATGGGTGTATCCAACTAATATATGGGGTATATATGTAGATACTTAATGCCAGTGGTTTCTTAACTGTGGTTGACACGACTGGTGGCTGACTGGCCATGGGAAATACCTCACTGGCGCCTGCTGCTGTCACTTGGGCTCCTTGCGTCCGTGTCCTGGGACGTGCACTGCTCCATTGGAGCAGCACTGAGGGTCAGCTGTGAACAAAGCTCTCAAGCTCTATCTGGCTTTACCACCATGCCTTAGCTATCTGCGTACACCGCTGGGGTTCGGATCTGCGTGGCTGATTCTGGTTTTTGTGTTTAACTCCCCCAAACAGGTCTGCCCTTGGTCCAGTTATCTCACTGGAGCATGTCTTCCGGACTTTGGGAAACACCCAGTAGCACAGTAAGACTTTTCAATTATAGGCAATCTTAAATAACCAGGGTTTGGGTTGATTATAGTGGCTTTATTGCTTTACAAAGGTAACGCACTTGTAAGCACTTGGGGAAAACGTGGTACGTCCTCGCCCTCCGGCACAGAGGGCCCTGGTGCAGCTGGGGTGGTGTGGGGTCCCTGCTCCGAGCTGTGGGGGATGAGATGCTGCACAGCAGCTGTGAGCTCTAGTTTGTGGGTGAGAGCTGAGGTTGCAGGGACAGCCCCAAGGTCTTTGCTTTTACTGCGTTTTACCCTGAGAAGTGCACAACCAGTGCCACATCCAGTGTCTCACCCACCGGTTCAACCTGATTTCCTTACAGATTTAGGAAGGATCGAGCTAACTATTCTATAAACACGGATGACCCCCTCATCTTTAACTCCAACATTGACAAGGATTACAGCATAGTGAAGAACTACATGGGCTTCACTGAAGAGGAGTTCAAGAGAGTGGTAAGTCGGGCTTGGCTGAATGCTCTGCTGATGTCCCATTGCAGCCCAGAACAGCAGCCAGCTATTTTTCTTTATAAGCTGGAGAGTTTTTAATGGGAATCAAATCCTGCACTGGCCTTGAAAGCACGAGGCTGAGGGCAGATGCAGAGCTGGAGGGGGATGCTGGACGCGCTGCAGGGCGTGGAGAGTCAGAGATGCAAGTGCAGGGTGGGCTCTGCAGGGGTTGAGCTGTTTTGGGCTCTGTGGGGAGCAGATCAGAGGGGAAATTGGCCACTGAAGAGCTGAGTGGGAAGGAAGGAAGGGTGCCTGTTGCTTTTTTTCCCATGTAGATTATTTCAAGGTGTCGTCCAAAAGTTAGTGAGATTCAGCAGCTACAGAAGTGCTGGCAGTTTTTGCAGGTAGAACATGAGTATGCAACAACTGAGCTGGAAACAAAGCGACTGCTGGCTTCAGTTCTGGCACATGGTCATTTATGTGTCTTGATTATATCCCAAAAACTGGCTTCAATAATTGGTTTTCTAATTACTTAGCCAAGACAGAAAGACAGGATAACTATTGGAAGTTTGACCTACCCATTGCCAAGCGAACCTTTCCTGGTTTGCACTGAGAGTCGTGCTCAGCACTTTCGCCTATGTGTCACCAGAGATACTTGCTTGGATTGGGAAGTGCAGGGTGCATCGTACAAGAGAGCACCAGTCCTGCTCTCAGCTCTGGCTGGAGGAACAAGTCCCTTTCTCCTACAGACGTCACTCTCTGAGACTGGAAGGAGGAACGAGGACTGGTCTGAGATCCTTGATCCACAGCTGTTCTGCTGCCAGTTGTCCTCTCCTGCTCTTGCAAAAGCCAAGTTGCTTCTGTGTAATAAAGGAAAAGTCCCTGCACAGATGGACGAGCAGGTTACGTTGCACAGCCAGGCTGTGTCCCAGCAGCAGTGTGTCAGGCTGCCACCACCAGTGTGCCCAGAGAGGCTCTTGTCCAAAGGGGAGCTGGGGGTGTAGGAGCAGGTCTAAAGCACATGTCGTAAAAACTCCAGAGTATTTAAAGACCTTTGCTTCGTGCCTGCCTTGCTTCTCTGGTGACTGTTGCCAGTGATGGGCCGGAGCAGTTATGCTGTAAAATGGGGCCGTGGAAATGAAACTTGGAGTGGAAACGTTACGCTGTCCCTTGCCTGCTGCTGCTCAGAGCCAGATTTTTGAGTGTGCACAACCATGTGTTCATGTCCAATGTGTCCTAATGTCTCCCTTGTGTTCCCCTTCTGCCTTCCCAGAACATCAACGCAGCTCAGTCCAGCTTCTTACCCGAGAAAGAAAAGCAGGAGCTGCTGGACACGCTGTACCAAGCCTATGGGATGGTCCCCAACGCATTGTAACCCGTCCCTGCGAGGCAGCACGGAGCAGTGGCCCTTCTTCATGTGTGCTTGGCTCTCCTCTGTGCTAGTGAGAGCACCAGGAGAAGGTGCCTGGGGTCCATCTCTGTTACTGGAACCCCTGTGTTAACCCTTACAGTACTAAGCAGACTCAGACTATCACATACACCTACCTATACCCCCACAAACTCTCTCCCGAATGGACATCCAGCTTCCTATCGTGCTGTTGTGCAAGCAGACTGGCCCGACTTCCTCCTGCATCCGCCAGTCTTTCAGTACTGCAAACGAGAACAAACTAACCACCTTAAACTGGGACTGTGCCCTGGGTTAACCTTCACTTTTCTAGGATATAGGTGTGTTAGTACTGACAGGGAGTCAGCAGGCACCTCAGAAACAGAGGCTTTATTCCCATCCGTAGGGTAGGAGGGTTTGGCCACAGCTATATTTACCCAGGGTTAGTCTTGTACTAACAAGACTGGAACAAGAACAAGCTGGAAGCTGGTGCTCTTGCCCGTGCATGGGTATGAAGGGCATTTAAAAAAAAAAACAAACAATTTTTTTGGCATCCTTTCTTGAATAAGGGCTCCTGTGTATCAGGCCTCCCAACATCACTGCCGCAGAAGCGCACACCTTGGACTCAGGCTCCAGCTGGGCTCACAGCTGGCCGTGACCATGCTCGCACATGCATAGGAAGTTGGAACATATTTTTACCATTTTGGGCCAAAATCTGCCTTCTGGGACTTTTGACGGTTTTGTACTCATCCTGGAGAATTCCCGTGAACTGCAGTTTGCTCTTCCTCTGTCTTTGCTTAGGGCTTGGAAAGACCATGATTGATGGCCTGTTTTAACCATTCTGCCCTCTTCCTGACCTGACGTAGTCTTTAGGCACCGTTAAAACTGAGTAAGCAAATTAGCAAGCTAGGGCCCGATGTCACATATTGACTCAGGTCCCATCTGAATTGCTTCTCTCGCTCAACCACAACACTGGCTAGAAGTCAGATCTTCAGTTTGGTGGAGAGTTTATACAGAAATATTCACCAAAATTTCTAAGCGATTTTGGTGCATTGTGTTATTTTTACTTAATATGCAATAGAGCCGTGCATCCAGAGAGGAGACCATTGTTTTCTTACGTGAGTGTGTGGTGTGCTTTAGCATCCCAGGTGTCTGCCAAGATGCTTACTCCAAAGATACTGTACCAAAAAGTTGCCTTTGACAAGGGGCCATGGTCACCGTTACCATGGATAGTGTATGAGACTGGTCCTGTCTCAGCCGGCAGTGACTGTGGGCTGGGAGTATTTCCATTCTTTCTGGGCTTCCATAGTTGTCTTCTGAGTAAAATACTCATCTCTGAAGTACATGGTGCATATACACACATATATATGTATAGCTAGATAGACGGATATGAGAGAGTGAATTTCTTACTTTTATAAAGCAAACGATAAAGCATCACTTTTAAGAACATGACTGCAGTAAGAACCAGGCTTTTGGGGGTAATTGTTCTCCAAAAACTGTTTCTGAAGAAGAGTTGCTTGTTTGGATTCTGGACAGTTGATTGTTAATCCTGTTTAATAAAATAACAAATTTATATTAAAAGATAAGTCCTCCTGCCTTTCTGTTCAAGGGTGACTGTTAAGAACCATGATCCGTGGTCCATAGCGTAAGCCGTTGTACCCCCTGCCAGAGCATGAGGCTTAATTGGTTCGGTAGGTGCGATGGGACCTTTGGCAGCTGCTTGCTGCCTTCTCCTCTTGCCAGGTCGGAGCACTTTGACATCCAGAGGACAGGTACCCCAGCTCATTGCTAGATGGGCAAGTTGGATTTATGGATGCAGGTTGTTCCAGCCTCACCTGTCCTTTTCCCTTCGGTGATCAAAGGGACACGTATTGCTGCGAGAAGCAGCAACACCACTGCTGTGTGCTCTCGCTTCTTCTGGCGTGTATTAAAAATATTTTACCATTTTCTTCCCTGCTCTCCTGAGTTTTGCACAGTCAGTCGATGCTAAGAGCCAGAAATGGTGCAGCCTAGGCTGCCCGGCTGTTGGACAGCATGGTCAGCTCGCACAGGAGAGGGTTTGCTGAAAGACTTTCTGATCGTTTAGTGCCCAGTTAGAGTTTTGGGAGGTCTGCATGCCCCTGTGTTCAACTGAAATGAAGGGCTCAGAGCATCCATGTGCTCAGCAACTTTGCAAGTCAGGATGTGGCTGGCTTAAGCCAGTGCCCTTGGTCTTTCAGCACAATCGGCGACGGCAGCTGAGCTGGCTCTTTTGCTTGCAGGGGGAACCTGATGCCTCTTGCCTGCCCTCTGAGGGTAGCTGGCCAACAGGTCCCTAATCATCTGCCTAAATATAATCCTGGAACAGATATTTTCTGACCAAGGAGACCTAAGATTAGCCCACACTTGACTGCTGGAGGTCTTGCGTGGTGCACAGCCGCTCTGCGCAGCCTTTCAGCTCTTTCTGTGTCAGCACGAGCCAAAAATACTGTTCAGCAGCAGTGAGAAGAGCTGGAAATGGGGCTCAAAGACCCAACTGTGCAGTCAGTCAAGCCCAGGAGCTACCTGCTGTTTTGTCCCCGAGCACAGGGAAACAGGAGCAGGCTCTTGGCCGCTGTCCAATACTGTCCAATACTGCAATAGTATGGGCAGGGGGGTTTTGCGCCTGCAAAGGCGGCAGATCCAGCCGCTACCTGGCTGCCAAATCCTCATTTCCTGTGGAGGCTGGAGCTGTGGACATCTCCATGCTGGTCCCGCAGCCATCGCTTCTCAGAGACCCGCAGACAATTCTCCCTGTCTGGCAGCTGCTTCTCTGCTTATTTATGACCTTGTTTTCTCTGAGAAATCTCAAACTTGTAACTTTCAGTTCTTCCCTAGGCTGTCAGGGTGATGCTTGTCCCTGTGTCACCAGCAGAGAGTATTTCTCAGGCCAGCTCTGCCTTGTCCCCTTGCCGGCTGTCGATCCCAGCGGGGCTGTAGCTGTCTCCCGCAGCTCCGGCAGGATGGGCTCTGCCTGGATGGGTGAGATGCCAGAGATGTCCTCATAGCTCTGTGCTGCAGAGGAAAGATGCCTTTACCCACAGGCACCTCTTCTGGTGCCTGGGTCACTCTGCCACATCCGAGCCAGCCTTGGGCTTTGAATTCTGAGGAGGGGAGCAATGGGAAAAGCGCTGCTTGGCAGCAAATCTGGGAAAGTGTGGGCAGACTTTTAACATTTTCTGTGCTCAACTACATCTGCTTCCACCTGGTTGCTGCAAACCCGTGGGGTTCAATGGAAGGGACCCTTGTAACACAGCTTCGTATCGCCCTGTTAGGGGCAGGTGGTGTAACCACCCTGCAGCTCAACCAGCTACAAGGCAAAACGGAGGAAGAAGAAACATCCAGGCAGAAAAAAATCACCTTCAGTACTTGAAGGCTGTGTTATTTATTCCAACAGCTTATATAGTTTTATCAAACCATCTTTAACACAAAACATGTCTCCTAAAAGAGAGAATGGTGTGAGATCCTACCAGAGATCATCTCAGCTAACAGCTTGCAAAGTTAAGCCTGAATTTCAACAGTCAAACCAGCAAAATGTTTTTCCCCTCCCCTTAACATATCTCTTAAAATGCTAAAACCCAAGAAAAAGATGCCTGTGGCTGGTGCTGCTGGGTCTGTAGGTGGAGCTCGTCCACCCAGAGCTGTACTTTGGTCCTTTCCTGATGCTAAGCGGCAGCAGCCCAGGTGAGTGGTGCTTGACGTGAAGGCGGTGGGACTGGCCGGGTCCCTTCCCCACCGCCCACCCTGATGAGGGGCTGCATGGACAGTCCAGAGGCCAAGTCAGGTCTAAGATGCAGATGAGGGTGAGGCTTAGAAAACTCAATAATCTAAATTTCTAATCTAAGGAAACAGAATAAATAATAGTCTAAGTTTGTAAAGTAGGAAGGTACCTTGGACAGGAAAGTCTGATGCATCTATTATTACTGAAATCGTTTTTTCCCCTTGGGGAAAACTGCAGCTAAGGCATCTTGAGAATGGCTCATATCACTACGACCATGGCAGTGTTGCTCTAAATTGTTGGGGATGGGTGCAGGAGTCTTTTGGAGGTGCCAGTCCTTGCGCAGCATCTTGTGGCTCTCTAAACAAAAACAGTTGCAGCAGAGGCATTTGACAGACAACTTGCTGTTCCAGGTTGGTTTTTGTCCACAGATTCAACAGCAAATTCTTGTTTAATGTTCACGGCAAGGCCCTCCTCCTGCCCATCCCACCCCCTGTACACTGTCATGGGGAGGGGCTGTTTTCTTGCCCCTTTGGTCTTGCTCCAGGGTCGTTCTCAGAAGAAGTGGCATCTCTTTGGCTTTCTGCAGAAGGGAGGATTGGGAAGAAAGCATGGTTATACTCAGCTGCGGACACACACCATCAGTAATTGCTACAGCTGATTTTATTCAGATCGTCACCTGAAGACCTATCGCTACCCTCCAGTGGCCAGATACTTGGCTTAAGAGTATTGGGTTCTCCCCTCATGTTCCCGGAATACAAATGCTTCTCAACACATCAGGTGATGCTGGGAGGGAGCCTCGGGGCAGGGATGTGCTCTCCTTGCCTAATCTTGTCTAAGTTGCGTAAGGGCAACTTGCAAGTGCTCCAAAGAGTGTCCAGGAATGTCTGCCCGACAGCCTGGCACCTACCTCAGTTGCTCCCTGTTAGAAGAGCTCAGATTTGTGCTTATTATGGATGGGCAGATGGACACACGCTAGTATGGACATGTTGAAAGAGGTACAGTTGGGGTAATATGTTTTAAAGTGGTTTTACAGTTACAGATTGTAGGCTGGAGGAGTGAAAGAGCAAGGGCCAAAACTGCGTTTACCCTCTGCAGTGGTGCTGTATGTTTTGTTGCTCATTAGTGAAATCAGAGTGGCTGGTTTGCTTGTGCCCTGAACAAGGATCCATGCTTTTTGTAGTCAGCTGGCTGGCATATATTGAGCAGGGTGATATTGCTGCCATGTTTGGACCACAGGGGACAATTTGGAGATGGCTGGTGGCGTTTAAAATTATTTCTGTTGTTATTTAAAATACTGTGGAACTATTTGAAGGCTGATTTTAAAAAAAAAAAAAAACCAACAACGAACAAAGTAAACCACAACCTGTCCCGTGCTTGATTTTTAGAAAGCCTAAGGTGTACCTATTGTGTAATTTTCCCTGGGAAGGCTCTTGGTCAGTTCACGGCTTGTTTAAGCACCAGTGCCTCTGCAAACCAGCCGGTGAACCTGGGACCTGCCAGGAACCCTGGGACCATCCCACTGGTTGCTAAAGCCCCTCAGCCTGAGGAGTCTCCCACTAGATGAGTACCCACCGAGTATGGAGGCACTGACTGCAGCCAGGAATGGGATGTTCCTCCTGAGCATCTCTGTGATGCTCCCAGAGACAGCATGGGTCAGCTGTGCTACCATTCCATGCCTTGTCCTTCCAGCCTGGGTGCCAGGAGCTGGGTCTACTGGCATCTGTGGCAGCTCACCTGCTCTTTCAACGGAGAGGTCACCTAGGTCCTCGGTCAGCTTGCGCATGCTGATGGTGGTTGCATCTCGTTCGATGTCGTGGACAGCGTTCCTCCGACCAGCCCGATCGCAAGAAATAAAGTCGGTGTACGTGCTGGACTCTACCTCCATTGCATCTCTATACACCTGCAAAACGCTGCAGAGAAAACACAGCTGTGAGGTTAAGGATGCTGGGCAAGCCTCGAGTCATGGCTCCCTCCAGGTTAGGTTACTCTGTGGAGTTAAATTACAGCATGAAAAAATAGTCCCTGAAACTCTGCTCCGGTTCCCCTAACAGCAGCTACTGAAATCTCAGATATCAACCCTGTCACGTGGAGCAGCATCCAAGGTGACCCGTGTTAGGTGACCCACTGTGTGGGGTGACCCACCATGCGGAGTGACCTGTGTTGGGGGAACCACTGTGTTGGGTGACCAACCGTGTTGGGTGAGGGCAGGTAGGCAGGAAGGATCCCTCCCGGGTGCCTTACTGGCCCTTGCTCTGCTTTCCCGTTGCAAAGCAAGGCAGACAAGGAATTTATGCCTCCTTTTGAGTTTCTGGCCTTCTCCTTTAGGAGCTGCAAGGTCGCTTGCAGCAGCTTTTTCCTACAGAAAAAGCCCTCCTTCCTCCTTAAAATGCCATGGGAGCTTTGAAAAGAGGCCATATTTGGCTTGCTGCATGGGGGGATGGGGTGCTGATCCAATCTGAATTTGTAATGGGAAATGATCAGGGCCCCAGTTAATAGCCACTGGAAAGCTCTGGGAACAGGGGAGTATTTTACAGGCTTTGGATCAGCACTGGCCCCCACTGGTTGTTGATTGTCACTGAGAATGTGTTGGGCTGGACTGCTTGGACATAAGCACTGCTCTCACATGTGAGAATCAGCCCCTCCGTGAGATGTTTGGATCCCGTCCCTCCAGCCTCGTGTCTGTGCCAAGTGAGAGCAGGAAGAAAGACTTGGAGCAGCCACTTGTCACCCACGAGCTCTGCTGCGAGCCAGCTCTTAGCTCAGCCTCAGGCATCCTGAAGTTGTGGGTTTTTCACTTGAGCTTGCCAGCGTTTGTACAGCACGCAGGGTCCAGGGACCTCGGTGGCTTGTGTAACATATCACGGGCATCTTGGCTCCCGAGCACAGAGCTAGCGAGAGCATCTGCCTCTGCGCTGGAAACCTGGTGCTCATCGTTCCAGCTCCTGCCTAGTCAGTTTGGCACTTTGTTTGTTCTTCTGAATGGAAATTAGAGATTAATACTTGTCTTATCTCCAATTTTACCCACTAAAAAATGCCTTTAGCACTGCTGATGTAAATACTAGAAGGGGGTCCCGATTAGAAATGCTTGTGTGTAATGAAAAAAATTCAATTTCTTGTTATTCGCTTGCTTTTGTGTCTTGAGGTTAATGTCTCACTGAGAAATTTGCTTAACCTCTTGTACAAATCCTGCTTAATATTGATCTTCCTACCAGGGAAATCTGCTGGCAGACCACCAGCCGGGGCAGGAATCACACTCCTCACTGTAATCCCTGATGTTTTGGCAGTAGAAAGAAGATGCTGACGAGGATGCAATAGCCAGGATAAAAGAGGTTAAATTCTCCCCTTTCCTGAGACTGAGCAGGGTGCAGCAACCTCAAACCTTCATAAACCCAGTGCATTTTGGTAGCCCCAGGGTCTCCTTTCCTGGTGCCAACGCAGCTCAGGGAGCGCTGGCTCCGACTCATTGGTGGGACGTGGGTCTTGGCCAGAACCTGCTTCTCCAAATCCAGCAAATCCTTGCAAACACCCACCTCCTGCCAGGGCTTGGCATCCACCTAGCCCCTGTTAAACGAGTTCTGGGAAAAGCCACATCCTTTGCTCCAGGAGGAGATCCCAGCTGTTGTTTGTCTTCATCTTCTCTCCTTCCTTTTCAGGCTTGTACTTCCCAGGAAGAGGCGCCTGCTCTGGATGCAGCAGGCTGGCTGATCTCAGCAAGCGAAGCGCCATTTCCCTGGGACAGAATGAGCATCCATCATTCCCAGACAAGTCCTCCTCGCAGCTCCTCGGAGCCCAGAGGCTGCGGACCTTCTGTAGCTGCCGGCCAGACGTCACATGGGCTTGGAAGCCTTCCCTGAGAGGGGCCCACGCAAGCCTGGCTCCGTCCCCACATCCAGTTCAGAGCTGACATGCTCAGGAGTCCTCCTGCCCTTGACCAGGGGCTGGACCATCTGGTTCGCAGGATGGACTTCACAAACTGGGGAGCAGGAGCCAGCCAGCCCGCGGGACGCAGGGGCTTCCCCGTGTCCCTTGATGCAGCTGCCAAAGGAAGATCCGCTCAGCTGCAGCAGCACTGGGCCAAGTGACTGAACGCCCCATTGCATGGGAAACAGACGGGATCTTGATTTCAAATAGGGGAAGGAACCAGTTCCTCTGAAGAAGCGGGCCCCGCTCCCGTCAGGTTTGGCCCCGGCTCAGCGGCCGGGAGATGGCGTGTGCGATTTATTTATTTCCCGTGGCCGGGAGGGCTGTTCCTGCCTTCGGCTCTCCACGCGCAGAGCCGGAGATGAGCGGATTTATGAGCAAAGCTTTCAAACTCGTGCAGTTCCTTCAGGATTTTCAAGGCCGGCGGCTCTCAGAAGCCTTGTGGGCAGAGCCCTCCCCGCTGGCATGGACACTCCAGCCTCCACCTCCAGGAAGCTGTTGGACCGGGGAGGTGATGGGAGTGGGTGCCTTGATTTCTGATAGAAAAAAATGATTTTTCAAAGAGTGTTTCCAGATTTCCAGGCAGGTGCAAAACACTTCAGTGGGTTTTTAAGTCAGCTGCAAACATCTTTTAACATAGAATCATAGACGTGTAGAACGATTTGGGTTGGAAGGGACTTTAAAGATCATCTAGCTCCAACCCCCCTGCCATGGGCAGGGACACCTTCCACTACACCAGGTTGCTCAAAGCCTCATCCAACCTGGCCTTGAACACTTGCAGGGATGGGGCATCCACAGCTTCTCTGGGCAACCTGTGCCAGTGCCTTACCACCCTCATTGTAAAAAATTTCTTCCTTAGATCTTCCTTAACATCTGCCAGGAACAAGAAAGGAACCACCTTCCCTCTTGCCTATGTAGTTCAACCTGAAACTGCGTCATCATGGACAGTCACCTAGCGGTGGCAGGGCGTGCAAAGTGGGGTGCATCACCCGCCAGCTCCCCACCTTCAGTTTTTCAGGCTCCCGTCCCGTGGGCTGGTGGGAGGGAACAATGCAGGAATAAGCCTACAGCACACAAATACACTGCACAAGGGTTTCCAGAGCACTTCAAACAGATGATTCAACCTGTCCCCAGAGGGTCTTTTCCCACCTCTCTTCCCTCCTCGCTGCTGTTGGTGACAGTAACAGTCCCCGTGCCCTTGGCGCAGCATGCCAGCCTGCAGGGACAAGGCAGGGATGCGTGGCATGGTGACAAAGGCCGTTGGCAGGGGACTGGGACCTGCTGCCTGTTGCACATTCCTCAAAAGCTTTTCTGTGCAGATTGGAGGGAGATTGTGTCCCCTCCACCGTGGAGATGTGGGGCTGCCTGTCCCAGGGCAGCTGGCCACAAGTGAGGAAGCCCCCATGGACACCAGACATGTCCCCAGAGCCACCTCTGCTCCCCTGCCCCCCAAAATACCGTGCCTCTGCCAAACCTGCCGTTTGGCCTGGAGTTATTTTATGGTAGTGTCTTGTGAGGACTAAAATATGGGGAGCTGTAATAGTCTTGGCTTTGCTGGTGTGGACTCAGCTCCCGGAGCAGTTTTGCTGTCGGACCGCAGCTGGGCTTGTCGGCATTTTCCAGGGAAGTCTCCCAGGAGTTGATGGAGCAGCTGGCTCTGCTCCAGGGGGCTGCAGATAAACCGGCCCTACAGACACCGGGGCTGAATTTTACCCATTTAGAAGGTGGATGCTGAGAAATTAAAGGGCTAAATGTTTCTTCTGCCTTAGGTAGAAGAATCCGGGACATTTCTCTGGGGTAAGCTCAGTGCCCCTCTCGGTCCCACTGACAAGCCAGTATTTAATTCCCATTCCCCCCTTGACTGCTTCTCCCCAGCGCAGATCCCAGGGACTACAAGTGAAGAGTTACCACAAATAATGGTAGAAATTAAGAAATGACCTGGAAATGCCACGGGCGGGTGTAACTCAGCACAGGAGCAGACACAGCCCTGCACCCATGCCAGTGGCCGGCTCTGAGGGATGGGATGGATGTTACAGTCACACCCAGCCCCGCACTCCAGTTCCAAGGAAGCTCTTCGCACGACATTGCATCTGTCCCTCGCCTAGGTTAAGCTGTAAGCTTTTAATGGCGAGGAAAGCCTATTTTTGGACCCTGCACCGAGGCCCGCTGCATTCAGCCTGCTTCCCCCCTGCTGCCCGCTTGGCTGCTCCATCCTGCGCTCCTGCGCTGCCTCTCTTACCTCTCGCCTTCCTCAGTGCTTTCCTCTCCCCTCAACCCGCCTTTGCAGCGAGAGCAAAGGGCCTCTCGGTCAGAGAGGTTCCCCTCTGCCAGGCACCCGTGGCACCTGTGGGTGTAAGGCGGCTTAGCCCCCACCTCGGACATCCTTGCCCCTCGAGGGAGCCAGGACAGCACCTGGGCTGCTGGAAGGAAGGAGGTTCAAGGGTTAAACACAGCAGGGGATTTCCCTGCTTAATTAAACCTGAATCATCGCCTGCTCCCACCCTGCTTCCCTCCTGAGACCTCCCTGCCCTCGGGGATGTTCCCCGGGACCCCGGAGCTGGGGAGCCCAGCGCCTCGGCCTCGGGCAGCCCCGGGGGCAGGGACGGGGCCGCCGCGGTCCCCGGGGGCAGGAGCCCCGCAGAGTCACATCCCGTGGCCCCCCCCTCCCGCCCGTGGGCAGCGGCAGCTGGCACCAACGGCCGCGGGTTCTGGTTGGAGGCAGCTTCCCGGTCCCGCAGCCCGGCTGGGGATGTGCTCTCCTGCCTGCTTGGTGTCACACCGGAGGATCCGACTCTCTCTTTTGGCCTTCAAACTTCTGGAGTCATAAAGCCACGAAGTGAAGCTAAACTGCTGCGTTTCTGGGGTGAAATGTCAAAGTTCTGCCGGGGAGGAGGGACGTGACCCCTTCTTCTGCTCACGCATCGCATCCCTTCGTTGCCATTCTGTTGGGACCGATGCATGAAATTGCACAGTCGCCTTCGAGCTCTCCGCGTCGTGCAGTGCCCCTTGCCCTTTCATTCCAGGGTACAGTGACTATTATTAGACCTCTCCTGCTGGGGCTGGATCCATAACAACAGCAAAACACACTCAGCAGCCCTGCTGGGCTTTTAAAATATTTACAGTGTAAGGCAGTTTACTGTGGAGGGGGGGCCTGGTAGAGCACAGAGACGGGAGAACCGGGATTTCTGTGCTCCCTGTGGCTCTGCCGTGAGGTTTCCTGCTGGGAGAGTCGCATCCAGCAAGGAGGTAAAAAAATCTCATAGGGCTGAAGCCAGCACTTGAGGTCAGGGGGTTTCCACCAACTGTCTGACTACTTCCAGCTGGAATTTCAGCAAATTTTCCACTGGCTCTTGTCTGGGAACATGCATGAGGGGTTGCAAATCAAAGGAGGGCTCTGTAACTGTTATCAGGGTTAGAGAGTATTTTTAGACCTGTGCTCATGCCTTCAAGGCCTTGCTACAGCTCATGACCCCCATGCACTGGAGCTTAGATCCACAGCCAGAAGCTGAACTGAAGGTGCAGATGCCCTGTTGGGAACTCGGTCTGGTAGCAGCTACATAAGTAACAAGTGTTGGTAAGGCTGATGGCAGGCTCTGAGTCAGGCACAGAGCTCCCCTGCTTTCCTGCTGGGTCTGTGTTCTCCAAAATGTGGTGGTGGTGGGTTTTATTGGTCACAATTGATGTGCTCCAAACTGCTGAGCCCTGAGTTTCCCAGCTGGGTGAGAAAACAGGCAGGACCACGGCAGCAGCCTCATCTCCTAGCAGGGTACGTGTGTCTGTCTCATGTGCCGAGCAGCTTCTTTCCAGGTGAGAAGAGCATGGAAAAGCCTCATCACACTTTGGCAGTGAAGAGATGTCAAGGCTGGGCATGGTGCGTTGGGATTTTTGGAAGGCTTTTGCAAGGCTTTTTTTCGTAATAACTCTGTACCTTCTGGCTCTTACGCTAAGTGCAATGAATTCAGCCAGCACAGACATCACAGCTTCTCCAGCCACTGCAGTGGTTTTGCAGGAACAGCGCTTCTAGAGTTCTCTAGGACTTGGTGGAAAATTATAATTCTTGTAGGAGGAGAGCAGTTACAGCAGGGACTGAGGTTTGGTGCTCACAAACAGATCCCTTCTTTTGCTTTGCCCTTGTTGTACAGTACAGACCACTTAATGCCTGTTAATTTCTTAGCTCCAAGTTTAAAATGAGGCTGATGGACTCCTCTAGGACTTCGCGAACCTTGCTTTGAGCTTCTCCTGCCACCAAGCTCCCCAAACTCCCTCCCCTCCCTCCTGGCCTTCAGCATGTCCCCAGGGACCCCCACCGCAGCATCTCTGCTGTCCCAAAGCACCTCCTGCTGCCCCACATCCTCCCGGCCACTGCCTGGCTCCCGGCTGACATAAGAGATGCTCCAGCTGGATTTCAAAATCACAGTCTATCCTTGGCATGGGGGTAGGGCGAGTTCTTATGTGGGCTGCTGTGGTCCCTGGGGGAGAGGGGAAGGCTTGGGAGGAGAGAGGGAGGTGGGAGGGGATTGCTCAGCATCTCCTTAGCGTCAGGATGTGTGGGCAATGGCAAGAGGGAGCTGCCCGTCCATCCATCTGTCAGTGAGGAGGGCAGCCCAGTGCCCAGATGCCAGCCTGTGTCCCCATGCTGGGAGTGGGTGGCACCTCTCTGCCAGTTCCCGTGGGGCATGGGTGCTGAGTGTCTGCTCCAAAAATCCTCCACCGTGAGAGAAGTCATGGTTTGCCTTGGCAACCAGGGTTTGATGGAGCTCTCTGCTCCTCCCTCCCCTCAGCACCGAGCCTCGGCTGCAGCTTAAGCCTCTTTGCAGCTTCTCACTAAGTTGATTAATGGAAATAATTGGTCTCTTTGTGCGTCTGGAGACAGTTGCCGTGACAGCAGTTGTATTTTTGTTTTGTTCCCAGGTCGAGCTTGTTTTTCACATCTCACAGCTTCAAGGTGCTAACAGATCAAGGCACTCCAGATCCCCTCCACCTCCAAAAGACACAGATCCCTCCAAAGGACGGGGTGGCAGGGAGGGATGAGGCACGCTTAGCCTCGGCCAGCCCTAGGACATGGCAGACTGGCACCTTTCTCCTCCCATTTTTGACCCCCTCAAGCCAGGCTGGCACTGGGCGGACATGGCACTCTGACTGCGGAGCAGAGAGCAGCGAGCCAAAGCCCTCTTCACCCAGCACAGCCATGAGCACCCATTGCCTGGTGAGCCAGCACCCACTGCAGAGACCCTTTCAAAGCTGTAAGGGGTAGGAGGCTACGAGTCCCTTCTCCATTATTTTTATTTTCTCCCAACTTCTTCTTTAGTTGTCTTTATATGTCAAGCTATTTTTACATGAACCAAACCAGAGACTGTATGGAAGATGCACTAACACCTGACTTGCAAAGCAGATGAACCACAGACCAGTCACGTCAAACTTTTCAGCTGCAAAAGCCCCACAGCTGCTGTTGCAGGCATGTTCCAGGAAGGCTCATGTATTCTCCCTGCTTGTGATGTGCAGACACCCCACCACACGTGGGCCATGGGGTGTATTCCTTTGCAATGGGAAATCAGACTTGGGTCCCCTGCCTTCCCCCTAATCATTCAGGAAGAAAAGTCCCTGCTGGATTTTCACCTCAAAGGCTGGAAACTCCCCAGTGGTCCCACAGATCTTCTGACCACACCGAGGCGCTGACCTCTGACGGAACGTTACCTACTCAAACCCCACTTGAACTCCTGGCCCAGGGATGCTCACCCCCAGTACAACCTCCTCAACAGCTTGCAGGCTTCCCTAGGCAAGGAGAAGTCAAATAAGTGCAGAGGAGATGCAGCTGGGGCTATTCTCTAGCACAGCTGCCCTGGTCATGTATAAAAGGAAGGTGAAGGCACAGCAGAACTTGATAGGATAGCTCTGTGTCTGGGTGGAGGAAGACCTTTCTACGAGGACAGAGGTAAGCAAGGATGGGTCTTTATTTTTATGCCTAGCAGGAAAGAGAGCAATTTTGTCCAGCTGTTCTTTGTGGTCTGAGTTGAGCTCTGCTGCTGTGTGAAAGCAGTGCTTGCATGGCTGGAAGGAGAGCTTAGCTTGGAAGGGGTGTTGTGCAGGCTGTGACTATGCAGTTTTGGCTGCTGCTAGTTGAGGGGGCTCTGGTTAGCCCGGGGTGCACGAAGCTGAGAGCCACCTGCCTTGGCTCTTCCTCATTCAGCCTTGCACAATTCCATAGGAACTCACATCCAGCATCCAAAGAGTCTTTCTGACTCAGTGTGGTGTAAGGGGCTGAGCAAGAAGCTGTGAAACCTCCTGAGGTGCGAGAGCCCTGGCAGCTCCCAGCAGTGCCTAAAAATAACCTGGGCGACTCTTAGGAGTGTCAGTGTGGAATGAAGCTGATTAGCAAAACCAGGCTTAGCTCTGCTCCCTGGGGCTGGCTGCCCTGTCCGTCCACCCCACCGCACGGGACAGGCAGCAGCAGGACTTCCACCTCAAGCAGGAGCATTGGTTGCCTGGGAAAATAGGGCAGGGGGAAACTCTATCTTTGGGAGCTGTGAGAAGGACTGGGTGGCTGGGATGGTGCTGTTGGTGCTTTACGTACACTAGAAAAGGAAACTGTAAGAGTTAAAAACAGGCTGGTAGTGAGAGATGGCTGAACTAAGGCCTTTTGAATGGCTCCATGGCTTCTGTTACCCACTGAAATGAGTCCCTGGGGCTGTGCTACCTTGCTGGGAACCCCACCTGGGCAGAGAAAGCTCTGCTGGCCTGCACACCCCTTCTCTAAGTACTTCCGTGATGGATGGAGAATTTTTGTATAGCTGTGTCAGGTGATGGCAGCTTCTGATCCTTTCTGCAGGCAGGGTAAATCCGTCTGCATAAGTCACCAGGGATGTGACATCTAGACACGAGTCAAAGTGGTGCTTCAGATGTGCCTGTAGCATTACACTGGTGATGCTCAGCGATCATTGCAAGTTATAGCCTCAGTAAAGAGAAAACTTCTAAATAAAATGAATTGCCAACTACTTTACGGTCCACGAAATGCAGTCTGGGGGTAGAAGGACACAGCGTGTCTCTGGCACATGTGGGAAAGATGTTGGGTACAAGAGATGAACTGCCCTGAAAGACCTGAGGAGGAATGTCTACGTGCACCAAAGAGCCCTGAGACCCTGTACTGTCAGATCTGCAAACAATATGGTGACAGCAGCTCTGGGTAAGGGAAAGTTCGGTGCAGGGATGAGAGAATGCAGCAAGGTGATGGGAGGACTGAGGAGATGCTATGAGCACAGGAGCCATGGGAGTGAACCACAGAAAGGACAGTCTGAGCTGGCGGCTCTGCTACTTACGCAAGCACCACAAAAGGTTAAGCTTTGGGGGTTCCCTGGATCTTGTTGGGCTGACTCCACAGGCAGAGCAACACTTGCTTGTGTGGTTATGTACAGGCAAAGTGAGTGGGCGGCCTGTGAGCAGGATTTGCACGTAACGTCCCCTTTGCTGGCCTGGGAGATGCCGAGCAGCACGGCTTGTACGTGGGGCTGCCCTTACAGTCAGTGCTGGAACATGGCTTGGTCCAAGTACATGGCTGTGTGGTATGGAAAATACAGCAGGAAAGTCATTATGGCAGAACAGGAGATTTTTTTTTTTCTCTTAGCAGCTTTCTAGCATCTAGTAATTCAGAATACAGAGGGAGGTCAAATGATCTATGAAATGAGAAGGAAAAAAACTCATTCCCGTTCATGTCATCTCTCCTTGCGAATAAAAATTATCAGTCCATAGTGTGAATCCCTACCTGATTCAGTTGACTTTCCTTCTGGACATGACTTCAAACACGCTTCATACGCAGCAGGGCAGCAGCTTCTGGGGAAGGAAAAGAAAATAAATGTAAGAAAACATTATCTGTGTTTTTGTTGGGAAGCATAAAGCTCAGCTGTTTTTTCCACTGCCTGTGACTAGGACAGCAAAGGGGCCACGGGCTCTGGTGGGGCTCAGCCCAGCAGGCTCAGCCGAAGCCTGGCTCAGCGAGTGCGGAGGCACCAACCGAAGGGCTGTGGGATGGTGATGTTCTTACAGCACCTTCTCAGGAGGCTTTGTGCTGATGGAGATTTGGCCTGTCGTGTCTCAGAGCGAGGGAAGTCCAGCTGAGGGTCTGGCTTCACGGAGAAGTTGTCTTTGGTTTTGCTTCTCCTTTTGTTAACCCTGCATGGATGCGCTGGGCAGAACCGGAGCAACGCGCATCTCCTGACCCGCACTGTGGTGGGACCCAGCGGCTGCCTCCAGAGTATAAATGAATGTTGGTTTGCAGCTCCACTGCCTTTTAAAGAAGTGAAACATCTCCATCATCTTCTCTAAGGCAAAAGGGGAAGTTTGATCTGGTACTTTTATCTGCCTTGCTGGGTCTGTCTCCAGCTCCGTGGGTTTCTGTGCTGTCTGCACACAGCTGTGCCTTCTCCCGCTGTCCCCAAGCCCTGCGCAAAGACATTTCCTCTGTGGCCTTAACATCTGTGGGTGCATTGCAATCTCCTGACCTGCAGAGCCCAGCCAACAAGACACTTGCTTATTTTAGCAGCTGTTTCAGCTTTCAGGCTCTTTGGAACATCATGGACTGTTTGCTGGTTTTTTTTTGCTTTGTCCCAGGGACAAATATTAGCAGAACAGAAAGCACGAGATGAACCATTTAACCATATAAGCTGTAGCTCATCCAGCAATTTATCTGTCTGGTCCATCTGGGTTGAGTACCACTCTGACTGGAACTGTTCCCTATTGTTTTACAAGCTGGGACAGATCTACAACCTTTCTCTTTATTTTTTTGACCCACTTTTAAAACTCCCTGGTTGCTGGAGCCAACTACTTGCTGGCTCTGGCCCTGCTTCAAGGACAGGGCACTTGCTGCTTCTGTGTGTCAGTTTGCCCATCTGTTAAATGGAGCTATTAATACTCACTCCCCTTGCTAGATGCTTCAAATATTTGTAAAGCACTTTCAGATCTGCAGATGACAGGCTTGCAGAAGTGGAAAAGACTAATTATGATGGTGACAGTAGCGAAACAAAGACACGGGATCAAACAATACGCTTTTGTTTGTGTTTACCCCGTTTACAGTAGAGTGCTTACTGGAAACACTGGAACGGAAAAGCTACAGTATTCCCACAACTCTGGGAATATGCATTGCCCTTTCAGGGCACCAAGCAGGCAAACAAAAGCAGGAAGGAAGAAAGCCAGCTTTGGAAATCCACGAGTCTTTATTTTCCTCCTTTGCCTTCCTGCCTCACTCTGACTCGTGTGTTACGCAGCCCAAACAGTTAAACCTCCAGCACTTCAGATGTGTTGCAAAATATCTCAAAATAAGTGGCCTTTTGCCGAGAGGCTTAAAGGAAATAGGAGGGATGATGCCCTGAACTAGAAGTTATCACTCAGTAACACTGTTCTAATGGGATTTTTGGGGAAAAACCCATTTTTCTCTCCTGATGTTAGAGATAGAAGCTCTTTAGCAACTGATATTGGTTCTCCCACCCTGCAGCCCTGGCTCTGGCTAGATGTTTCTCCCCACAGCACTCGCATGGGATCTGGAGTCAGTAAATCTGAAGCTGAGCCCCTTGCTCCGTCCCCAAAGGCTCATCTTCTGCTCCTGGGGCGATGGGCAGAACTCTGAAGGACCCTCTGGGCAAAGGCCAGGCAACATCCCACACAGGGAGTTTGGGGTTTTAAGGGTGGTGAGGTGGATGAGCCCATGCAGTGTGACTAAGGACAGGCGAAAGTGACTTGTTAAAGAACACTTCACATTTCCTAATCTAGTTGTATAACGCATCAAGGCACCACAGATGATTTGGGGACTCCTGTGGAAGTGTTCATTGGATAGCTAAACATCCACACCACATCAGGAGTGAATTAAAAGGGCATCAGCATGATGCCCACGTCTGGGGTTCAGATTCCCTCTGTGCTTATCAGCTGTTACCCAACAGCAACAAGCACAGAACACACTCAGTGCTCTTGGCCCTGCTTCAAAATGAATATATGTGCCAAACAAACCCGGAATGCTTTTTGGCAGAATTCAGCATTGTTCTACACAACAGCTGTTATGGGTCTGTTTTTGACCCAGAGAGGAAATCCTTTCTGGTTTCAAGCAAGGTGATGGTAGCAGAGAGAAGGTTGTTCTCATGTCTCTTGACTCCTGGGTAAACAAGAGGCTGTCTGCATTGCTGTTCAGAGCAGGAGCCCACTCCTCCCAGAGCAGACCGATTGTCCTGTTCAGTGCTCTGTCCCCAGCAGCAGCTGGCACCCTTGGCCACACAGGTGCAAGAAAACTTGTAATTGTAGTGGAACGTTTTTTATCAATTACTAATTACCCTGAACCAGGAGGTCTTATAATCCTTCAAATGCAATGTCCTCTTAATCATACACAGGATTGTTTTGTTACTGAGATAACTACATGATAGCTATGAAAATGCCTTCTGAGCTCTTCGTTCCAGCAATCTCATGTCAATGAGCACCACAAATTAACTACACTTCATGGAAACAGTAATTCCAGTAAAGTTGATGACGCTCCGGTGAGGATATATTTGGCTTATTACATCACTGCAAACATCAACAAATATTGGCATTTTGGCACTTGCTGGGGAGTTCCTGAGGCAGCGGCTTGCGACCAGCAACCTGCCTGCATGAAAGCCAGCGGGGAGGAACCGTGCACAGAGCCCTGAGCCGTGCTGGGAAGGAGGCGCTTGGGACCCCGCCGTGCCAACCAGAAATGGGTGGTGTAAAGTACATATCCTCGTAGGCTGGAAAGGAGGGAAAATTTTGAAAGAGGAATAGGTGGTTCACAGTTCAACTGCTGTTCTTCCTGCTCATGCCACAGGTGCCAGCCGAGTCCTGGAGCGATGTTTTGATCTCTCCAACTGCTGTTGTGACGAGCTGGGCACAAAGTCCATGCAATGGCTGAACTTTCCCTTCTCACTGGCTGGTGCTGGCAAACCTTGGGAGCAGCTGCCTTTATGACTTGGCTTTTTCTAGTCTTTGGCTATACACAACTAGAAGTACATTCTGTGTGGTGTTTTTTTTCCCCTCTTATCCTCTCTAAAATGGGTACTGTGATAGAAAATTTTGTTTTCTGGATGAGTTCATATATACAGCTTTGGTGGCACTAAGGAAACCCTTAATATTGTGAAGAAACAGTTGGATCCAGATTTGAATGTAAAATGGGATAGACAAGAACAGGGTGGTATAGAAAGGCAAACAAAAAGCTTGGTTGAAGCTTCTGCTGTTTCTTATGGACTTGTAGATTCATCCCTGATTCTGCCACAGAACTTTTATGAGCCCAGGAAAATAATCTGGTTTGTGTATAGCCCCTGTAAAATAGGAATAAGGCTGGTGGTTGGTTGCCCACAGGCTGGAGGGATTAATGCACAGCAGTATGCTGCAGGAACTGGCTCTGAAATGTGGGAGATCAGGAAACATTAACAACTTGGAAAATGTTTTCCATAGTTATTTTGGGGAGTTGGGTTGTATGCCTGTGGCTATTCCCCTGAGTGGGCTCAAAAGACATACCTTTCTTTGGAATAAGAGGAAAAAGCAAAACTTCACATTCTAATTCACTGCGTGCCTATACACCTCCTCAGAACTGGCCACTGAGTACAGAAATACTGGGTGGTTGGAAGATGCATGGCTATGAACCTTCTTGCATTTTCATCTCTCAATGACCACCACCTACACTAAGAGCCTACGTACTATAATGATCTCCAGTTCTTTAAGGTTCTTAATCCGCACCCTCTGGAAACTGTCCTGGAAAATGATGGCATGGGGGACTTGTAGGTTCATGGGGAGCTCTGTCTGAAGGACTCAATGCCCTGTTCTGTGCTCAAGGCACTACCGGTGCAGCCATGTTTGTAAACTGCCATTTAACCTGCATCTGCACTATGAATGAATCCGGCCATTAAGGATCTCTTCATGCATCCTTCTTTCCCAAACACCATCCCTCATGAGAGCAGAAACATGGTAATTTCTCAGTTGTGTGGCCATGTATTAGCACAGTGGCCACTTCCAGCCAAGAATCTCAGAAGCCAAGGTGTTGCTCCATGGCTACCCAAGCCAGGCATGCCAACCTCACCATGAGCAAACAGCCCTGAGCCTGAGGGACTGCAACCATCCGATGGTCTCTACCACCGAGCCAAGCCATCTCCACTCCACAAGCCTCCTCTCGCTCTTGCAGTGCTGCAGCATCCCCACCATGGCAGCCTCTTGCTCATTTGACCCAAGTGTGTCCTCTTTCTGGTTTGTGCCACCAGCCCAGCCACCCAAGGCACTGGTTTTGGGTTCACAGCTATGCTTGGCTCTTGTTCTGTAGACCCATTTACCCCTTCTGAGCAAAGGGAAATGCTTCCCAAACACCCCTTTGGGGCCAAGGCATTACATGCATGTGAAAGCTCACCACTGCGGCTCGCTACCAGCTGCTTAGGGGAATCCAGAGAGAGGAGAGAAAGACTCACAGCTCTGAGGTGGAGGAATTTGCAAAGCCTCCTGAGAATACCACCACACAGCAGTTCTTTTTTTATCCCAAGTCTTTGCCTTTTAAAACATTTGCTTGGAAAGCTGGATGCCAGGGAGTCTCTGAGCCTGCTTCCGCTGCCACGCTCTGGAAAGCCCTTGCTCAGGACTCGAAGGGGAGCCCCAGGCAGCCCTGCAGCTCCCGACAGCTCTAAGGATGGATTCAGACCACGACCCTGTACGGAGGGCACGCTGGGTGCCTGTCCCACTGGCTGGCATCCATTCCTGTGCGAGCACAGAACCATCCTGAAGCTGTAAGGGATTCCCTCTGGCAAGTCGCTCAGAATAAATGGATACATGTCAGAAACGAGGCCAGAAATCCCCA